ATTGTCTTAATAAAAATATCTGCTTCCTTTAAAAATGTATTAATTAGAGTATAATTTGAACATTTTAATATAATATTTTTAGCAATAGCGCCATAAAATTTATTATTAAATTTTAACTGTAATGATCAGAGCTGTAGCATGATTTTGTGAATCTTTTTTAATAAAGAATATTCTGATTGCAACTAAATATTAACTGAATGAAGTAGATTTCCTACATGTGAAACGAATCCCAAATAGTTCTGCAATTTCATACTCGAAAAAATCTTTCAAAATTTTAGGACAGCTTTTAAAATCTATATTTAAGAAGTATTTTTTTAAGGGTTAATTTTAAAATTCTATCTATGGCAGGTATTAATGACAACCACCTGATAGGTATATATCGCAACAACTCACACCATTCCAAGTCAGACCTTTAATTTATTAACTATTTTAGTTGATGAACTAAATTCGTTAAAACATTTCATGACAATTATTTCGACATCCACAGATAGTACATTCAATGCCTTCTTGCAAGAATCAAGTAGTATATGACATATACACATTATTGTGCTGCCTCAATTCGGTAACTTTGGTTTTTGCCAAAATTTACATAGGCATTATCAGCGCAAAAAGCTGATATGGAAATCATTGATAACCCTGAATCAGCTATATTTACCATTATGTGGCTAGCTACAATGTTGGATTTTTCACTATCCGAGGAAAAATTTTTAACAGTTTTATTGAAATGTTCTTATTCTTGTTGAAATGGCGAAGGATCGAGGGAAATGTTTTAATATTTCCTTTATTAGATGCATCTGTTAGAAATGCATATGGATGCCCATTTTTCAAATCGTCTAGAATTGACTTCTAGGATTCAAGTACTAAAACACTTGTGATAGCCTTGCTCATTTTTGTTCTACCACAAGTAAGATTTGCACTTATTTTGGAGTCGTTAAATATCATGAGAAAATGATTCGACCCACATTGTGATGATATAGCTCTGTGAATGTTGAACTACATGATAGATGTATACAATTTCCGCAAATGTAGTTGCATCTGTATTATTTATTATTTTTGAGAATTTTTGTATTGCAATCGATGTTGATATAGTTCCCTGTACTGACTTATATGAATAAAATGATGTTGAATTATTATTGGATAAAAATAAAACAGGATAGAAAGAAATTTACAAATTAGACATGTTTTTCGAATAAATATATAAAATTTATTTAAAAAATATAAAAATAATCAATTAATGTCTCTCAAAATTATTATTTATATATTAAAAACGTTAAAATACTAAAAAAAAAAATGCGGGAGAAATTAAAAAATAGCGGTAGATTTTTGCTGGAGATTTCTAATTGCGGTAGTTTTGCGGGAGAGAGATGTCTGCGTGTAAACTAATAAATTGAGAGAGTCTCCCGCTAATGGGGGAGACATGGCAACCCTGCATGGCGCTTAACGTTATTCTGGAGAAAACGACTAACGTGGTACCACAACATCTGAACATAAAATCACAACCATTTAAGGCTAACAGAGGGCTGAAACAAGGTTGCATTCTATCATCTATGTTATTTAATGTAATAATGAACGTTATTCTGAATTCAAACAAGAATATGCCCATAATCCTCAATATCTAAACAGAGTTGCCACCAGGTCAAAATTTCAAATTGCGGGATAAATAAAAATTGCGGTAGAAATAAAAAAATTTCTAAAAAAATCCGCCTATTATTTTTTATAATTAGTTTATATAAATACAAATTCGGTAACTATTTTTCAAAATAAAATAATATCTTGATTTATTAAAATAAATTAATTTATAAAAAATAACCAACGATCCTTAGATATAAATTTTATAAAAAACAACGATTTTAATTTTACAATGTAAAAAATATATTTTAATCGAATGTCCCGCAAAACATCCCCAATTGGAAATCTACCTTGTGTGTGTGTATAACATTATAGAAATTGGCGCTTAATTAACACGTATCACGTTTAAATAAATAATGGTAATATTGTACTCATTTCATTGATAATTATTTTATTTATTATTGTTCATTCACATTATTATAATCAGTGCAGGAGAGTGTATCTACATTCATTACAAAACAAAAATATTCTACTAAAATTGGAAATTTTACAGATGCAACTACAGTTGTAGTAATTGTAATCACCCCTCTTGTATTACAATATTCACAGAGCTACTTATCATTACAATGTGGGTAAAATCTTTCCCCATAATATTTAACGACTCCAAGATAAATGAAAACTTTACTTGTAGAACAAAAATGGCAAGATGTTTTAGAACCTGAATTCAGGTAGGTAATTCTTGACGATATGAAAGATGGGTATACATATGCAATTTTAACAGATGCATTTAATAAGGGAAATATTAAAATATTTCTTTTAATCCTTCGCTATTTTAACAAAAAAGGACGTTTCAAGAAAACTATTAAATTTTTTCCCATCAAATAATGAAGAACCCAAAGACATACTAACCATATAATGGTAAATATAGCAGATTCGGGATTATCAATAAATTGCATGTCAACTTTCTGATCTGATAATGCCTCAATGAATTTGGAAAAAAACCAGAGTGTATTTACAGAATTGAGTCAATATTGGTTGCGATATGTTCCTAATACCCGTCATCGATAAAATTTTATAAACCTTTAAAAAAATATTTCTTAAATAAAGATTATAAGAGCTGTCCTAACATTTTGAAAATTTTTCCCAATAATGAATGGCAGAGGTATATTTAGGGAATGATTTCACATGTAGGAAATCTACTACATGCTGTGCAGTTGCAATCAGAAGAATCTTAACATAGATTTACAAAATTATGCTGCAGATTTGTTTATCTTTACAGTTAGAAATTGACAATAAATTTTATGGTGTCATTGCTATAACTATATTAAAATGTTCAAATATTTTAAAAATACCGTTAGACATTGATGTCTTGTTTGAGGATATTGTAATGCTCTCTATTTTAGATTTACAATGTTAAAAATATATTTATTTTATGCGAATGTATAAATAAAAAAAATATGGGAAATTAAATATAGATTTAAATAATGGAACTAAACGTTTACCGTCATTATTGAGATATTTATTAAATTACAGGCATGTCTTATTATAAATTTGTTTAACCATTAGCTCGGCCTTTAACGTTGTTAAAGCAATCCAATTTCTCACCTTTTTCAAGGCAGTTCTCATCAGGCTAAAAAATGAGGCATTAGAATGTACGAGAAGATATATTCTCAAATTTTTTCAAGCATGGGGTTTATTTTTATTACGAAAAAATTCTACCCATTTCTCCTCTGCTTTTAGACCATCTAACTTTAAGTATTCTGGCAGGCCAGTTACACGGAAGTGCTGCCCTTTTTGCGATTATGACCTGCTACAAAATATTTTACACGGATTTTGTCAAATGTTAACCTAGTAAGTGTACATTTATATGTGCATCTGGCTTATTTACGTTACTTATAATATTTTATTTGTTGACACTTGAAATAACCAAGATTTTTATCTTGAAATTAATCATAAATTTTTTATAACGCCGTGAAGAAAAGTTTAAAATTTGTTAAATACTGGGAGGTTCAGTATAATATTTTTAGTGCCTTGGTTATACTATTAATATGAATATGTAGTTAAGTTTGGGGCAGGAGAATGAGAAGGAGTCGCAGTGTTAGAATTAAAGGACAAACTTTGACCATTAAGGATATGATGGGTAAAGTTACTTGGTTGCCGGTTCAGGAGTTAATTAGGGTAGATGGATAGCGGTATAAATAGTAATGTATATATGGCTCTGAGAAACAAAATTTGAAATAATCAAGTGTTGCGCCCGTATAGCGAGCCCAGAGAAAATTCTCGGGGAAGGAGAATAGAAATAAGACAGAATTTTGAATCACGGGGAAGAGGGGTAATGAGTATTTATAATTGCGGTAAACCAGGTCATAGAAGTGCTTCGGTTGTGGAAAATTAGGACATATAGCTTCTTATTCTCCGGGTAAACAAGAGAGATTAAGATGTGCTGGTAGTGGTAGGTTTGGGCATGACAAGGAGGAATGTAACAGTAACATACACAAGGTATGCACTCTATCAATATTAAATTCAAATAGTTTTAAAGATAATACAAATACCCATATTTTAAATTCCACCAGATTATCTCTATTATTTATAAAATAAGAGCCAATAACAGAGGAGGTCGACTTAAAAAATGTAGATGGAAAGCTGAAATTATGCCCCTAACAGAGTTAAACCCTTCTCGGTAGGTAGAATTACAGTGTCAATTTGTATTTTCTCATCTGTTTTGTCATAATTTTTTCTTACCCATAAGGAATGTGAAGGTCCATTGAGGCCAATCATCTCTTTAATAAATATTCAACATTATCTAAGATAGCTAATAAAGATAAAACCTGTATAATTTATGAAGTATTGAAATGATTTCTCTTGATACCAGAGGAATTACTTTTGATTTCCTTAAATATTATTTCCCAACCTATATAAATTTTAAAATTGTAAAAGAGATTTAAA